TAAAGGTAGAGTTGATCAGTGGACTGGTTTGTAGATCTTTAGAGAGGGATTTCGGAGGAACGCTGTTCGTCGAGAAGCGTTAAGGCTCACCTGCTTATATAGTAGGAAAGGTAACAATCATTGAATATTAGTTTTCAAACAGGAAGAATTTGTATATGACTATTGAATATGAGCATGGCTATCAGGTTGGAAGACCTCTCTACAACATTCCCATCATTGTACATAAGCTCGGTTGTTAGAGCTGATACTCTCTACAACAATATATTGGGAATTAGATAAATGACTCAACACTTAAGGCGCTGTTACTTTCTGTGTGATGAATCACTCATCTGTGAAATATTAAAATCAAAAGAAGATATTTCCGCAATACAACAATACTTCCATTATTTTGACACATAATTTCGCTTTTTTCTGATAATATTTGCATATTTATGAGGGAAAACTGGTTATTGGCTATATTGGTTTCATTGTTTGGTTCATTCGCAGTCTTTTATGTAATTAATTATCGACTTGTCGTTTACTATCTCATATAATAAAATGTCAGAGAAAAAGATTTCTGTCGAAAATTTTTTCCACAACTAATTTAAATTTTGAGAAAATTTTCAGATAAATGTATATTTCATACAAATTGTAGGTGTTCAAAGCAGAAATAGAGTGTGCTAAAACGCTTGACCCACAAAATTATTATAAAAAAAAAGTGGATGAAAGAAGTAAAGTGTTATCAGTTGGCGCTGGAAAAACGGGTACAATCGATGTTAATGCTAAAGAGGTACTTTTTTGTCATTCTAAAATTGAATAATTAAGACAAGTTTGACAATTTAATTTGTTAAAATAGCAATATATATGGATGTGTTGACACTTCAAGAATGTGAGGTAAATTCTGACCTTTATATAATTGTACTAAATTAGAAAAATTTTTAGGGTTCTGTGATAAGATGGTGCATTCATGCTGATGGACATTTTGGATTCACTATTTTTTATGTGAAAGATCAATCTTGCGAAGGCTCAGATTCATTAATTAACATTTATCCTATATTACCGGTACGTATGAAGCAAGCATTCGGTGAAAATAATCCTATGATTATACTCATCTGCTTGGTGCATTTAGGCTTGCAATAATAATTATGCAAAATGCACTGCTGCATAAATTGTCAATTTGTTGAATAATTTTTAAATCATTAACTCATAAATTAAATGGAATATTGAAAGTTGATGCGTGAAATCCATTTACTATTTCGTCTACAGTAAGCCTAAATAATACTTTAACTAAGTTGTTAGAACACATGTAAAAATAAAAGATTCTGTGATCTTTCGTCAATCCGACCTTAATTACTTTGACCTACCTTCTGTCTGACCTATATTTAAAGTTAGATTAATACAACGAAACGGAGGAAATTCGTACTTATACTGAAACCAAACTTCAGAAATTGCCTGGGCCAACTGTGGTACCAATCAGAGAGGAAATTAAATGTGACAAAACTGGTGTATATAAAATTTGGTTCAGTAACGAGCATGCATGGTTGCATACGTTGAATATACATTATCTGATCGATGTTAAACCAGGAAATGAATAACTGTAATGGTAATGATCATAATTCAGGTTACCATAATATAATTGAGTTTTGTGTTCATATGATGAATAAATGTTTGAAAATTGAGTAAATCTTGACATCGAAAAAGAGAGAAAGTTTGCTTGAATAGGATACTAATAGTTAATTATTGAAAACTATCATTTCAAGCACTATAAAAGGATAAATTATGTTCATTTTACTTCTTCATAAAGTTCGTACATTTGCTTTTTGGTCAAGAAAGAATATAACTTATTTTTCAAAAAAAGATAGCGATATTCTTTTTAGAAAGATATAATAATATATTAAAAAATCAAATTAAAATAATCGACGAACTATAATTTTATTTATTCGTGAAAGTTTTAGAACCTGTTTCTGAATTGTTATGGAAAAAAATTCCAACATATTATACTTCGAGATTATCCCAAGAGAAGTTGAAGAAGACTTTAGATCGTCCGCAAAGTACTGATTCCATTTGGTATTGTAAGTAAGCTGTTTAAAACGGTAGGTACTTTTATGAGATCGATCGTAATGAATAAAATTTAATAGACGGTGATCATTATTCAAGTACGGTATATTAAGATGTATTTTCTAAAAAAAAAAACAAAATTTTCATCTGTCGATGCTGAATAAAGTGTCACTCCTTCTTCTTTCGCACATAAATTCTCTTATAACTTCCCGAAATGTTTGTGAAACTTAAAAATACTGGAAAACTTTGAATACATTTTATCCGGTGGTCGTTAATTGATCGTATCGTAAACACGTGAATGGCAAGGTGTTTCAGTTTTAATACAAAATTTCCAGTACTAAGTTTCTTTTAGTGTTCAAATTTCAACCGTTCAAGTTTCTCTTTGTGTTTTTCTTTCTTTTTTCTGTTTTCTTTCTATTTTATATATACGAAAGAATACCTTTTAATGCACTCCTATATTTAATTTGTTTCTTATCCTTTATCTAACTTCAAAATACTCTCATCTCTCATATTATTTTCTTGCAATTAAATGAAAATAATACAAATCACTCATTGTCATTTCCAAAAAAACTTAACTCAATATGTATTCTTTTACCCATTTCTTAAAAAAAAAAAAAACACACTCTTTCATGATTAATTAAATAACTTTATTTTGTGTGATATTGGAGATTTTATCAAATCAAATGAATCTTTCAGTGATGTCATTTTGACTGAATGAGGTCTCATGAAATAATACCAGTAAATGAAAGAAAAGAAATATGAAAGTGAAAAATAAGAAAACACCGGAAAAAAATGGAAATTTAAATTTCCATGAGAGTATCCAAATGTAACAAATTTAATTAGGTTCAACTACATGTCCCATATAACGATACTAAGATTTTCTGAGACCACATCAGAAGTCAAACATTTTGTCTGTCCTCTGTCGCGTTAACACTGATCTGAACCATTTAGCTAGCATTCTCTTCTTTCATGCTTCATTTCCGTCTCTCGGAACTTTCACAGTTTGTTCCACCAGAAAAGAAAATCAATACCTGGAGACAGTAACATTCTTTTCCACCAGAAAAGAAAATCAATACCTGGAGACCGTAACACTGTTCGTTTCATCTGTTCTTTTCTCTCTCTCCCTCTTTCTTTCATACAAGAGTTTGATTTAATCATTAAAAGTTTTAATATGACATTTTACTAGGTGTAATATTTCTGCCAATAACAAAGTTCTTTTAGTTAGAGCAATGGGTGATTAAATACTTTCTGAATTTAACTTATTCATGCAGAGTGTTCCCGCGTTCTCCTAATGCACTGCGAACGATCGCCTTCATTAAGTATTCCTGAAACCATAACTGCTGAAGATACAAATAGTGTGACATATCGCTACTAGGCTGTGTCATCATCACTTTGCAACTGTTTGTGCATGATTATTAATTTTCTAAATGGCATTATTGATTTCAAGTTCAATCGATTGGTTACCGATTGCGGGGATGATCCATTGCATTTTCCTTTTTTTCAGATGATTTCTTTCTCAGAGCAACTTTCGCCCACTTTCTGAATTTTGTGGTATTAAGTTGGACTTAATTAAAATCCGGCTGGGGATGTGAGATCATTACTTATTTGCCAAATTTTAGAATAGTGAAGGAATAATTAAATTCTCATTTAGTGAACTTTAATTTGGAATGTATCCTCATTACATACATTTTCGATAACAGCGATATGATACTCTTAATTAATATGCAGTGCTACCCGTAATTACGGAGATTTCTTTTGAATTATTTTCCGTCAATTAAGGGATCCAAAGAATTGAATTCTTTTTTTCTGGATGTAAAACGATGCCTTCCGAACGGCTGATTTCTCCCAATTTTTTGCACAATTTAGACGAATAATGACATTACCTAATATTATATTGAAGATAATATTTCGAAACTCTACTTATTAAGTCTAAGGTTAACCAATGTATAGTTTCTATCGATAAGTTTAAATCTGTCGCAGTTAAAGACTTTCATTTCTTTCGAGAACTTCACTACAGTAAAAATATGATTTATTAATAAAAGTTAAACTGCTAGGAGATTTTCAAATTTATTTTTCAACGTGTCGTTGCTAATTCTGTTTTGTCGAGTAAGACAGTCCCTCCTTTTTCAAAATGTCCATTCATTTGGAAGACTTACACAACTTTGACAATACATTTAAAACGAAGTGAAAAAAGTCCATTATCTTTTACAAAAAAGTGAAAAAGTTTACAGCTTTCTCGTGACAAACGAATTGGTAATTCATTTGTTCTGTCACTTTGATTGAAAGCTTGGTAAAAAGAAAATCCTACTTTTTGCAATGCTTACAAATCAGTTACTCAACAATTAATTGATGCGCAATGCCTCTCAAACTGATTTATTGATTAGTTCAAAATGCTTTATTAACTGCTATTGCTACTTACAGTCTTAGTAAATTTGCATACTGAATGAGATGGATGGTCCACTTTACTCCAATATTTCATTTAATTCTATTTCCAATTTGTATTAATGAAAATAGAATTATTTAGCGCCTTTACGGAAAAAAAGTTATACATATGAACATTCACTAAGAAAAATAAAAATAGTTCTATTTTTTTGCAGATCCTTATCATCTTCATTTAACACTTAATAATGAAATTGTACGCTCGTAAACGCAATTCTGACAATAATAATTCCTAGCATACAAATTATCTTTTATTACTAATTAGCAATTATATTTTCATTTTGCCATCCAATCACTGAATGGACGAAGGCTGAAAATGGGATTTTAATTTTCTTTAAATCTCTTTAAATTCTGGTTTTTTCGTCTTGCTTTTTTAAATCAACGATTTAGTGTATGTTCATATGCATAATTTTCCGTAAAGACGCTAAATAATTCAGCTGCAAATCATCTTTCTGCTTTGTGCATTTCATGTCAATAATAGTTCGCCTCTTTCTCGACCGCCGGAAAAGTATTTTTCGCGGTAAGCGACAAATCACTCACAGTAAAATTGATCATAAAGAATGAAGTCTATAGGTTGACATGTTTTTATTCAACTGAATTCAGTCGCTTTTTCTAAACATGGGTCTAAATTTAATAAAATCTCAAGAAAGCCTTTAAGATAAACTTTTCCTTTCCTCAAAAAACATCTTAAATTTGAAGGAAAGTTCAAAAATAAGCAACGAAATGGCATAATTTTCAACGTAATTCTTTTGGCAGCAAATAACTGTTTTCAGTAATTTATTTTCTAGAACTGAGAAACCCAACAGTTTTTTAGAAAAAGCGTTTTTCAACTTACGCTTTTTCTTCGAAAAATCAGCAAAATGGAATGATTTAAAAAAGAATCATTTTTTCCTTTTTTTAATTAATTATAATAATTATTCTAATTATAGAAATAGCCCATTTTTGATATAAGTTAACGCTGATGACTTTTCCGCCTTGCGTGTATCATCCTTTTTTCCTCTTTTTGGTTAATTATAATAATCCACTCAGGTTTCCTAATTTTACTACATTTCGATTGAGTAGTTGTGATAAAATGTACCAGTTATACTTTCATTAGCAAATTTTCCGAGTTATAAAATAATTTAAAAAATTGCATTTTGTAATGCTTATAGCATTCAAGTCTACCTACTTCATGATTTACCATTCAATCGAAAAAATTTTAAAGTATCGGAGTATATTCACATGACATAAGTTAGCACGTGACAGTTTGCGCAAAAGTTCCACAACGAGAATGAATATTTTTAATTCTACAACAGAGGGCAATTAAAATGAATATTAATTTCTAGACCACCGATTCGTCCCATAGTAGATCGTCGGTAAACAAGCTTCAGTTGAAAACTCAGGAAGAACTTGTCTGATTATAAACTTTGTGACAAAAGTACGCCTGATTAAATTTTCGAAATTAATATATATCGGTAATTATACACAATGCAATATTTTTCCTGTGCTGAATTGATTAAATTGAATTTATCGAATGGTTAAATCTAATTCCATTTCAACTCTAATTTCGGTATCACCAATGTTTTTTTTTCGCAGATAATACAACATCATCAGGAAAACAAAGAAGTTGAGATAAAATTTGAAAATTTAAAAAGTTTGTAAATAAGATGGGGACAAATTCGTTTGTCTTGCTTGTTTGTTTTATTTTTATTGTATGTGATATTATATAAACTTTGCTTAAAAGACATTTTTAAGCATAAGTTATTATCGGAAAATGAAAATCTATTTCCGTTATATTATGCTGAAATGTCGCAGAAGTTAGTTGGACAGGTGCAACATCTCATTAAATTCAAATTTAGTTCTTTCTTCTTTCTCATCCATTAGATTTATTTCTGCACTGTAACCGAAAAGATTTCTGCGAGAAACCGCCTTTGAAGCTTCAAAAAAAGTAAATTATCATGTCTGCCCAATGAACCTCTCCGTGTTTTTGTGTGAATGGAAAATTTTTTTTATCTGTTGCCGAACTCTTTGCAACTTCTGGTAACAAAAAACGCATTACCTTTGTTTTACCAAGTCATTTTTCACGGTCAGCCCATATTGTTGACTGATTCCAGAACATTCATGCTATCTGGTTCCATCGATCTTCCTCTAGAAAAGGATTTCCCCTTATTTTTTTTCTGAGCTCCAATAGAATTCCTTTGAAATAGTTAAAACAATGTTTGGGAATAAAAATATTGATTTTTTGCTTGTTTCGGACTGGAACATATGCCATGAAATGCTCGCTTACTTTGTATTTCAGCAGTCGTTCAGCCTCGTTCGAATTTGCAGTGCAGTATCTGATAAAAATGATAATAATTAACAGCTCGAAGGTCAGAGGATATGGTGATTGTATAAAAAGCAATTTCTGAGTTTCTAACACTTCCAAAGTCGAATTACTTGGAAAACCTTAGAAAGCTTCACTTGAATTTTCTCTTTCTTTTTACTTTAACCTTTTAATGAATGGCGACGCTTGTTTGTCGAAATTTATCAAAGATAAAAATAATAAGTTTGCCGATCTTGGCCTTGACTCCTTGGCAGGAATGGCTTTTCTACCAAATTCCATTTACAGGTCATGCTTTGTTGAAGGAAAGCTACTGCACTGCTGACGACTTTCATTATTATCTTCACAAAAATTCTTTCAGCTATTCACTTATTTATTTTACTCATCGGAAAACACTGACTACATCTTTGTACGTGGAAATTTTTTGGAGCAATCAAATGAAGAGTAAAATCCAAAATATCAATTTCATTCCAGATGGATTTTAAAATCACAGCAAATTTCACAATTTTAACCATCTGCTACTTCTTGACCAAGCTTTGCCTTTTTCTGAAAGATATAGATTGTACAGACTTTCAAATCAATCATCCACTTCCACTTGCTTCCTCCCGACCAACAATCGTTAAAAAATCATTTCCATTTTAGACTTTGGATATATTTCGAAATACTATGCAGTTTTTTTCAAAGCTTTTTCAACTAAAAATTGATTACAGTGTTTGTTTGATAAACTGAACTTTTCCCTGACACTTAATTATACACATAATCTCACGATCAATTAGCATTTGTAATCTCAACGTATCCATTCTGATTATCCAATAATGTTCTAAGCAATGAAATTTGAATCACTGCGAGATAATTATTAACTTTAGATATGTCTGAAATACATTTGCATATATAAGGTGATATTTTTGGCATATGAAATTGTTAAGGAAAATTCGTTATTAATCCATATGATCTTGTCGATCATTCACTTCTAGAGATAATCCCACAATTTCTTACTTTTTTCGATTTTTTAAAAGTGGATTTCAAAGGGAAAGCATTAGATGCTGATTATTCATTGATATCGTTATCTTCATATCGAAGATTTACTGGTACAACGCACTTTCACCTCTTTCCAAATAGCATTGATATCCAGAAACTCATGAACAATTCTATTTCAAACAAATTTATAAAACCTTAAAAAGCATTTATACTATTAGAAAAGGCTGATAGAATCCTTCACTTGTAGTAATTTAGATATGATTTGTTAGCATATCAGTTATCCATATCAACTGTCTTTCACGTTTGTTCACAAATTTTTAAATAGCAATACAACCACGGACGATTCTTATCAATTAGCAGTTGCAATAAAATGGATATTATCATTCACTTATCAGATAATTATCCATTACTGTATCATTCGCTTATATTTTTCTGAGCATTTCAAGTAATTATTTCAAGTAAGATATCATTCGCTTATATTTTTCTGAGCATTTCAAGTAATGATTATGTTAAACTTCGGATTTAAAAAGATCGACAAGTAGGTAGCGCAATAGGATAAACAGCAGGCAGTAGGTATACTGCGCCCATTCCACGAGATCGATTTATAAATTTGCTGCTTGTTTACATCCAGCTGATTTATTTAATTCATTCCATCTATGTTTTGATTGAAGGAAGGCTCTCTTTCCCCTCTGCTGGCTTTAATATTTCATCCATTCAGCTATCTCTCACAAAACACAATCATGTTAACATTTCCAGTTCGTTTTATTTTATAATTCCAAATAAAGTTAATTTTTTTTTTTTGCAGCGTCAGATATTCGTCAGCCGTATCGCAGAGACTTTTCCAGAAATAATGATCCAAATCTACTTTCAGAGGAGTACAGTACTGTGAACGAGCCTAGATAGTCTATGTGTTACGGTAGTTAATGATCCTCATAACCTCAATGGTAGCTGAATCAGAAAATTTCTGCGTGACAGAAAAATCATGCGAATCATTCCTCTTTCATATTAGTACGCAGCAAGGATTGTGCAGCTAATCCAGGTTACAATAATGGTAAGTGATTTTGAAGTGGACTTAGGTGCTCTTGAAACATTCCATTCCATTCGTCTTAATTCTCTCTCAGATTTAAATTCAAAATCTCAAACTCTCAAGATGACTCGAAACTGAATGAATTTTGATGAATATGTTTAAAAAGCGTCTCACGAAATGTTTCATATCAAGAAGCGAACAAGCCAAGGGCGTGGGATAAACATGATCTTTCTGTATGCGCTTATCATGCAATTCTTCCACATGTTGGTGAATATCATATTTATAAGAAAACTTGAGTTTCCAGCTACCTCCCAACCCTCACCCATCCAAATAGCCATTGTCCACAGAGATACCCGCAATCTCATTTAAAATCCACTACATAGCTCCATCAGTCCTAGACACATCTACCACTTGATGAACATTGCTTCCGTAGTGAACAACATTCCTTAGTGAAGGCCGAAGGTGAACACTCTTAGTAAAGACCAAGGGCCAAAGATTGACAATAAAAGAGTGAGAGGAAGATCTGGCGAGACTAAAGATACATACAAACAGCTCAACCAACAAACAGATAATGTTAAAATGACCAAGACTGTCAGCAAATGTCATCGACATGACCGTTGCCACTTCAGGATTCAAAGTGACCCAGTGGGCCTTTGTTCAGTTCGCGATAAACAATCAAGGGTTGTGGATATTGTTGGTATGATTTGAGAAGTGGGGAGATTTGTAAACATTTAATTATCTTCATCATTCTTCAGATTTGCAAACATTTAATTATCTTCATCATTCTTCTTATTACCACTCAGTTATGAGCTGAGATATGCGACAAATTCATTGAGTGTCACAGTATCAGACTATACTCTCAGGTCGATGTGTGTCCTCAAAAAGAATCACCGACTCTTGTAGTGGGAGTAGGGGTTGCCTATGTGTTGGTTCAGTTTGAAACTCGTGCTGGATTTGCTTATTGTTTCAAAATCTTTTGAACATTTTTTTTGCAGCAGAGATGAAAGGTATACGTACGGGTTCGGATTACAGCACATAAAAAGAAGCAAAGAGGTATGATAATGTCTGATGCATGCTGAGATCTCATTTACGCAGTACTGCTGCTACTGGTTGGCAGTAGTCCGAGGTAGTACCATCATCGTTTGTAATTTCTTTTACATAATGGAAGCACTATCCATGGCTGAGGAAGACTCTGTTATTTCATGCGACAAGAATGAGACTTTGAAAAATGCGAACGATAATGTGACAATTGAAGATAGCATTGGTTGTGTTTATGGTAAATTGGTTTTGCTTGGGTAAGTATTCTCTACTACCTTGCGACGTCGAAAGCGGTAAAGCAATGATATATGCATGTTAGCGTTGCCTAATTCTGAACATCTTGATGTGCTAGTAGATTGAGCAATACACTTCTGTAGATGATATTATGAGCTTCTTTCACGAAGCAAATCCATGGATGTTTGCAGTCATGTGTCACAAACAGATACGCTGCTCTAAATGATCAAATTTTTTTAATTTTGAAAATCCTGATGGTTTTAGTTTTGACTTTATTTAGCAGAAATTTTGATATTATTTCCTTGAAACCTTAAAAGTTCCACAAAGGATCTCTGGTTCGGTAGCAGGGAGCGTACGACTCAGGTTACACTTGAGACTAGTTGTTTTCATATTCTTTTGGAGTTATAGGAAATTCTGATTTGTTACACGTATGTTGTACATTAGTGGAGATGTAATTAAGTTCCAAAAATTCAGATTTGTTCGAATTATCTTTTATTACCCTTGAATGTCTTTTTTGTAGTTATAATGGCACGCTCGAAAGTAGTAGCACTTATGCTCAAGGCCGTAAACATCGTTCAAAAATGATACTGCGCAAACGACTAACGGGTAACGGTATTAAAAAGCATCAAAGCAGTTCGGTTAGCATCCCGCCATCACAGAGTCAGGTGTTGTATTTGATCGATTCCAAATCACTAAATCACTAGTTCTTATTATCGAGGAAATTTATGTTTACCATGAAAGAAATGTTCTACAAGTCAATTTTATGAACTTTTGGTCTTTGTTTATTTAATGCTTTAGAATTTTTTCAGGTAGTGCGCGACGCTTCACGACATGTTGTGTCGTATTCGTACAATCGTAATCACACAGTTCTTGTAGAATACAGCCCAGATCCTTATAAGGATATGTTTCAAGTGATTTCATTTAAAATCATTTCTTAGGTGTTTTTCATATCTGGTTTGACCACCATGAAGCGTGAAATATCTATTTGGGTTAAATAAAAGTTAACTCAAAAACAAAAATCAAAAAAAGAATTAATTTTTGGAGTTAAACAAAAATTAAGCTAAAATTCAAGTCAGTTTTTCTTTTCCTGACCAATGTTAAACACTGACTTGATTTAGGTTTTACGGATCCCGCTTTTTCGATGGCTTTTTTTGTAAACGAAAATATCTTAACATGTTTAAGATACAAACGAGGCGTATTACCTTATACCATAACAGTCTTCACCAAACGATAGTGATGAAGAAAAGAACCTGAAAAAATATGTTTTACTTCCATCATTCTCTTTTCAGATTGGTCGCTCTTCCGAAGACCAAATAGATTTTACCGTTGTGGATACATGGCTTGCTGCAAACGCTCTTCATCCAGGTTCTTCTTTTATTCAACACTTTTGTTCTAAACTGGGTTATAAGTAGTTATCGCAAATAGCAGGGTTTTTGTAAAGTTTCTGTTAATGTTAATTTACGTAATTTTCTCATTACTGAACTAACACAGCGAATGATGGAAGTATTGCTAGTTTGCAATAAGAAACTTTTCAGTTTATGAAGAGAATGTGGGACGGATAACTGGTAGCCGGTAAGGGGAATAGCCTGAATTTAAATGATATACATTTAAATTAAAAAAATTCTCCATTTGAAATTTTCAAATTCGTTGCTGTTCTTTTACGGGTGTATCCAATCATTTTCTGTGAAGATTCTGTTAACGTTAACAACGGAACAATTACCGGAATTCTTGAAATTTCATTAATTTTACAACGAATTTAAAAGGGAAGTGATTTCAGGAGTCTACAGTGAACCAGGATCCGAGAATGCCGTGCTTGATGCTTTTAGAGTTGGAAAAAATGCACGTTGCAATATTCAGAGACCAATATCTTCAACTATCAGTCGTTATGCTTGTCGGATACAAATTAACCGTGACTATCCCCATCGAGCTTTTTTGTATGCAGCTGGATTTGACAGTTCCAGGAACATTTTTCTCGGAGTACTTTTTTTCTTTTGTTCCATATTTCCAAAAATCTAGCTGGACATCTGTCTTTATCTTTAACTTTTTGAGGATTCGTTATTATCTGTTTAAACATGCAATTTTGTCGTCCTGATTAAATGTCTAGCTCTCACGTTTTTTAGCAAGTGTAGCCTTTATTTCTGAACACTATTATGAGTGATTATTTGTTAAAATTTCTCACTTTTTCTTTAGGACTAATTGCAGTAGATATCTGGCTTGAATTTAGTTGTTTTTCATATGATTTTGATAATTTGCAGTAATAAATTGCAGGAAAAGGCAACGAAGTGGACGAAATATGATGGCGAAATTGATGGTCTTACAACAAATGGTATTCTTATTTTGCACCCAAATACCATGCAAAGACAGGTATGATGACTTTATTAGTCATTTCGAGAAGTGCAATTAAACAGTAACTGATTGGATTTTGATGGCGCTGAAAAATGTGCATTTGCGGTTGTGGTTAATAAAGCTCCCATTACTGTGATTCACAAATTTTCCCTTTCGTCTTGCATAAAACCCTAAGTCAGAGGTGAATTTGTTGTTGATTTAGTTCTTAACTGATCCAAGTGAAAAATTCAAGTGAGATATATTTAACTAAAGAAATGGATGCAGCTGACAAATTGAGTTGGGAAGATCAAAGTTGTGGTTTCATTCCAGTTCTCAGTGCAAATCCACCAAACCTTAGCAGGACTGCTTGCAATTCTGCGATATTTTTGGTGAGCAAAAGGCAGTACCTCATTTGCTTTATCGTCTTGGTCTCTCTGCAATCATTTTCAACTTCAAAAGATCTGCCCTTATTTTTGTCTTCCGGATGTCTGGTGACGAAGGCTCTTCATACTTCTTTATTTGCAAATTTGGTGGGGTTTGTTTGACAAGGTTTAACGTTTAAAAAAAAATTATTTAGAATTTTATTTAGAATTCCGGTCAAAATACAGGAGACCATATGGGAATGTTTGTGTGGCGTGAAGTCTCTGTCGATGGTGACATCTATAATATAAGGGAAACGCGCTCTTCAACTAAACGAGGAGAGTTGTTGGCGGATGAAACCAATGAATTACAAGTCTGTCAAATTGCAATTTGTAATGTTGATGTTCTCCAACTTCACGAGTTAAATTTGTCAAATTTTTGACCTATTAGGAATGAATAATGAAACTACTAAAAAAATTTCGGATATTTGATTTGCAGGATGGGACACTGATTGACCTCTGCGGTGCTACGCTTTTATGGAGGACAGCTGAAGGCTTGACGAAAAGTCCGTGCCGCAGTGAGCTTGAGTCAAGGTATCAAATATCCGAAAATAATATAAAAAATATACACAAACATTTGTGCATCTTTGGAAATCGAGATCAAACTAGTTTTTAGCTGATAGTTTTTCAGAGTGAAAAAATTTCTTTTTATTTTTTAAGAATTTTCAGGTTGAATGAAATCAATGCTGGGAAGCCACAGTGCCCAGTAAATCTTAATACTCTCATTATTCCAAGGAAAAAGTCAGCGAAAAGTTATGGTTCTTCCAGACAACCATATGTATGTTTTATTTTTATAATAAAGCTTTTCGCCTCTTGTTTTATTGGTAATGGAAAATTTCCCAATATTTGCAATAAAAAATTCCAAAATCTTGAATTAGTTTGTTTTTAGACATCGCTTTCAGTTTGAACATTCAATTACGTAAGTATATTTCATGTCGTAAATCATTTCAAAATAAAAGTTTCACTTTATGTTGTGAACAATTATCACTTTTAGGTTTATCTTAATTGCGGTCACGTACAGGGCAAGCACGCATGGGGCAAAAATGACAAAAGTGACAGCGGGACTTTGTACAAGTGTCCCATATGTTTGGTGGATTCATCTAAAATAATCCAACTAGTTATGGGGATGGAATCAGCATTCCATCTTGATTCAGATGCACTGGACTATGCTTTCAATCCATGTGGGCATGTTGCTTCACTATCCACTGTGAGGTAGTCCATATTTCCATGAATTTTAACTGAAATATGCCTAAGATTTTCAAAATTGCATCCATCATATTCACCAAATATTTTTGTTGCTTTTTGTAAGCATAAGCATTTCAGTTTGATGTAATTTTTTTTATGATATGTATTCATTATGTATTTAATTTAGTAGTTGGACGAAAAATATTCGTTTTAGCTGATTTCATTGTGAGTTCAAATAATAATGGCAAGTCAAGTCCCAGAACTAATTCGGTTTCTTACAGGTATTGGTCTCGTATTCCGTTACCGCATGGTACAAGTAGCTTTCATCCGGTATGTCCATTTTGTACATCACTGTTATCAATGGATAAACCATATGTTAGGCTTATTTTCCAGGATCACTGCTCTGATTCGTAATCCTTAAATACATAAATGGTTTGTAGTGTTTAGGATCTCCATATTTCTTTATGTATATCCTTCCTCAGCGAGATAGGTACAGTTATTCGATGTTTTCAGATTTTGTTGCAATTGAAGTTGTTTTTTTGTTTCTATCATTTAAAAAGCTATGCTTGAAACGGATAACCAGAACATCCCTCATGCTTGTCTGGTCACTTCACGAGAAGTTTCTTCTTTTACAACCTCTTTTATACACTTTCTTGCACTGTAGTATTTTAACATGTTAATTTGTTTGTTAATATTAAATCTATTGCAAGCCATGCCTGAAAATTCTTTGCTGTCATGTTACATCACTATTTTGTGTTGATGCGAAATTCAGTTATTTTATTCAGTTGTTTGTTTGAAAATTAAATTTTGTATTATAAGAAGCTTATCATATTTTATCTAACTGTGGACATACCGCATCAGTAGAGATTGTTTGTTACACGTATTTGTATTATTCCTTTCATGTGGTTTATGAAGTTCTAAATTTTGGAAGACCCGGGGCAGACATTTGAGATAAAACGCAGATTTACTGATGGTTTATGAGAACTCATGGTCATCATTGAGCTAAATTAATGGTAGGTTGGTGGAGGGAATGTTTTCCATTCAATATCCAAATGGAAATAAGCCCGGCTTTTTGTTGCTGATGGTGAATGATGCAGAAAGAATAAGTAAAACCGACTTTCAAGTTTTTCCTACCTGAAATTCTGTACTTCCATCTTTTCATTTCTTTCTTCCACGATCAAATGTAATTGTGTTTTCGGGCATTTCTTTTGCTGTACAAATTATTTTGCATTTTTCTTGGCAAAATTTAAATTTGATGGATTTTTATCTTGTTTGTAAATAATGACATTGAAACATGTGATCAGGTTTCGGTTAAATTTTTTTTTGGTTTTAGTTATTTGTTACAAGTTATTTTGTATTTTGAGTGTTATTACTCAACTTTGAACTTGAAACATTTCATAAAGCTGCATGATAGATACTTTTTTGGGACGTATTGCCATTATTTGTAAACTGACTACTAGGGTTCCGTGTTACATTACTGTTGCTGCTTGTGATACTATTATTAGTTAAAGTCTTTCACCATTAATATCTCTCATCTCAGTCAAGGAAATCTTCACATACCTTGGAAATTCGTAAATCCTTTCTAATCAACTCCTTCAAATAAAATTCGAAGTTGATGTTTTTGGGGGATATGTAACATCTCCAAACTACACATTTAATTAGGGGTTGGTTCTGTATTGATGGGACTGTTCTCTTTGATTATGCTGTGAAATACCTCTTTTACCGTTGAATATTTCTCGGATGAAATCTACCGTAGCGTAAGGATTGAGCAATGGAAATAACGAAGTCGTTGCAAAAGTTATTGCTGAATACGCAAGGCGTGCAGCATATCTTTGTCACTGATAAGGAGGGTATACCGATTATTGGTGTAAATGAGTCAGGCGGTATGATCTTTTCCTTTTTTGTTCCTGTGAATGAATCGGGTGGTATGGTTTTTTCTTTAAAGTGTCATATGGAAATCATAATTTGCATTTTTTACCTTGATTGCATTTGAAAGTTATAACTTGTAAGGATTTCCTTAAACTTATTTACAGAAGAAGACCTGCGGAATCGAATGCAGCTTATCAACAGTAATCAGATAACGGTGGAACAGATACCCAAGTTGAATCTTGGCGAACAAAAATCGGCAATTTTTTGGTATGCATTTAATTTTTGTGTAGTCAGTTATTTTGGTAGGATATACAGTTTCCCAATAATCCAATTTACTGAAAAGTATCAAATTGAAAAAATTAACGATTTTGCTTTTTGCAAAATCATGATACAAATGATATTTCTGTGCATCCTGTCAAACTTCATAGTGGAACCCTCTATTCGCTTTAGTAAACCAAATTGAACTCACTTCTTTTTCAAGAGTCTCGGAAAAGTTTTGATTTACTTTTGTCGAAATTTCTATGCCAGTTTTATTTATCAGTAATCTTGCGAAACCTCAGGCATCACCTGTTTTAATGAATATTATGTTTTACTTTGTATTTACAGTTATGAATCAACAGCTCTGGTAATACTCCAAATCAGCTCACTTTTTGTAATTATTATTGCAAGTTCTGAAGCTTCCATAGGTACACTACGAAACCTCAGGCATCAACTAGAACCGATTATTACCGAAATTGTAAGTGCGGCTGGCTTACACTGATTACAATATATTTATTTTTTAATAGAATGTATTTGTAATCTGTTTTTCTAATACTCTGTTTTAAATTCAGAATGAGTTACAATTATATCATGTTGAGATTAAAATCTCATTGTCTGTCATTATTGGTCTGACATTCATTTGTTTTTCCGACGACTAGAATTTGACACATATTGTTGATGTGCATGCTTGTTGCTCCAATGCAGTAACTGTTTTGATTGGCAGATCCACATTTTCTCAAGTACTGCATTTGATACATACAAGAACTACTCTCAGCCAGGTGTGCAAATTCTCAGAGATACAATTTTTTAAAGAAATGTTTATAGGAGTTTATCAGAACGATTTGTTGCAAACGATATATGTTCTTATTTGATTATAGAAATCAAATTCCTCATGAATTCTACAGGGATTTCAAAGTGTATTTGACCTAATTTTTTTCTGGTCAAATTAAGTTTTTAAATGTTCTTAGGTCTTTGAACTTTTAAATTATATAAGTCCCGAAAAGTTGTCAACTCTGAGTCGAATCTAGAATCAAATGATTGGATGAATGCATAAATATAGTATCATGAGTAATCAGAAATTCAATATAACAAGCGCCTGACTTCTTATGTTTTATATGATACCTGTATTTATGCATTATCTATGTTCTTGTTTGTGCATGATCTTTTCCAATAGCATCATGAAACAATAAAAAGTTCTCAGCGCTTTAGTTATTTCACTTCTCAGATTATGCCAGAGAAAGTCAGTGCTTTGTGAAATACTAAAATGAAGCTGTGGTTCACTTCTGTATAAGGGTGTAAAGGTTGTAACAAAAAATTTGTTATTGTGAATAGCAGTTAGTTGAAACTCATTTGTACTACGGATGACTGAAGAACAAACAATGAGTGAGAAGGCAGCATTTTACTTTGTCGAAAACTTTTGCCATCGTACATCTTAGTGCCAATTTTCCACTAATCTTAGATTTTCCTTTATGAATCCTCATCAAAGCAAGAATACAGGAAAGGTGATTAGTTATGTTCAAGTAGATATCCAATGCAATTAATTCTTAAAGAAGGTATAAGGGGATTTCAGCCAATATTCCTTGGTAACCTCCCGTGGTCGGAGGGTGATTATTTCCACTCCTACTGAGATGAATTTTAATTCAACTTCTGACCATCAGCTTCCAACAACAAAGTTTTTAAATTTGGAACTGTAGGACAAATCAATATGATAAGTCGACTTTATGCAAATTGCGGCATCATTTTATATCAAGTATCATATATCATTCTAATTCATGGATTCTATATTATCTGGGAATTTTGCAGTTTTTTACCTGAGAGTGTATAAAGCGGTACTCGTCGAAAAGGGTGGATACATCACGAAGTGAATCAACATCTGATCGTAACAACTACGTCTCTTTCATTCGGTGATTCTTTAGATTCATACTGTTTTATATCACTCCTATATATGCGCCAGTTAATCTGATAAATGAGAAATGGAAATATAAATGGAAATTGAATGCAAACAAATATGTAATTGACGTGGGCATTTCATACGTAACCTTTATCATCCCTCAGGTCAGACCAGCCTACACTTCGTGTCGCTGAAATGTCGGCATGTCAAATGGAACAACACCTCAGATGGGACATGAATGTTGACACTTGCCCTGTTTTGTCTTTAATTTGTATTCAAGGAACCGGGGTGAGGAAGTGGTCGGGGAAGTCGGTGAATGTTTGAGGTTATTGACTGATCTAACGATAACTTGGTTCCTTCGGTTGTTGCAGGGAGATAACTCAGACGATGGATAAGTCATTCCAACAAAATCTCAGCGATGACGAGTTCTCCAAATTAGTAAGTCAGTCTTCTCCACCGACACATCTACATTTCTGAGTTATGTGTCTAAAATTTTAGTGAAGCAATAGTTTCAGATATGTTTGTGCAGTTTTTAATATCATTCCAAGATTTGATTTCTAATGGAAAGATTAAGAATCCGGAACATTTCTTACGTCTCCATTTGCTGATCCTTTTCCACATTCATTATGGTTTATGTTTACCTTTTGTTAAGTTTCTTGATATTGCGGGGACGACTTTTTTTTAAGCTGAAATTATTTAGATGATAAGTGATGAAGGATTTCGTTTGGGACATTTAAGGCTTTACAAAGCAGAATTACTGGAATCAGTTGACACTGTTGAAAAGTTGCAACAGTTTCGCCAATTTTTCGGTACGACAACTTTCAAGATACTATCATAATATCTCTAGCATATCATTTTACATTCAATTCCCAAGTTTTCTCCCACTGTTTGGCTTAATTTTTTGTTAGTTATAATTTTAAGGTATTCGTTGCTGTTAATTGATTAGTTTTCAGTTTTTATTATGACTCGTATTGGTTGCTGCAACAAATATCTCATCCTTTTTGTATTATAGTCTCATCCTTTTCGTGCTATAGTTCACAACTATTCCTCCTTCGATTTACCATTAAATATGAAATGAACTCCCGAACACAAGCTAATCTCTTGATATTGTTCAGAGCATTATTTTTGTGAAATCGGTTACATGAAAAATTCTTATTTATAAAATTTAATTATGTTTCAGATGACCCAAGATGTTTTGCTCGGCTTTTGGATTTGTTCAAGGACGATTCTAATAAAAAAATGGCACTAAATTATTTCTGGCGTCGGATACGCTTCAATCGTGAGGCCATGGATCGTATACTCTTTATGGCCACTAAAGGTATTGATTTTGGAACATATCAGAATTATTGCAGACATCCAATGCTACGAATTCGTTATTCCTAGCGCATATATGTGTAAAATTGGAAATTATTTACATCATCTATTCTATGAAGCTCATTTTTTTAATCTACTGCTAGTCATTGGTCAGTCTACTAGTTAGACTACTTACTGATCGTATATTTCTAGAAATACAGCTATTATTAAAAAATTGTGAGAGCTGGTGAAAACTTTGGAATTACCAAAAGAAGCAGAGTGAAATGTATGCAAAAGTTTATTTAAATTAGATTAAAAGAGTGGAAGTCACCATATTCCAAGTTCAGGATTAAAGTTGGATGTTTTTCGTGATCAAGCAATTAGATTATTCCGTTTTAAATTAAGTCATTTCAAGTCATTTCAAGCTTTGTTTTTTTTATGGATTCAGTTTGTATCAAAATACTAGTTCCGTGCAAGAGAAAGACAATGAAAAAAGCAAAAAGAACCTGTTAATTGCTTTCTCATTGTCCTTACTCTTGCAGATAACAAAGCTCTCCTTGATTTGATTCATGAAAGTATACCAGCGAGATCATTGGAGTTTTATCGTAAAATGTTCTATGAAGATACGAAAAGAATGGATAAAATTACAACGACAATTGAACCGCTACCAATCTGTGCGAAGTTAAAAGATGTGGGCTATGAATCCATTAAGAATGTCGTGCGGGAAATGATGAAAACTAAAAGTATGAAGTTCATATTTTCATTTCATGTTAAAATTATTATCTTCTGCATAACAGTACTGTTTTTACTATAAATAATTTCAATTTCGCAATGAAGAAGGCAGTGTTTGCTCTGTTGAAATGCACTTTATTTTCATTTTCAGAGTATGAAGAAGCAGCATGTTATCTGATGAGGAGCCTACCGAAAGTAGGAAGTTTGGAGAGTCAACCATCTAGTTGGTATTTCGATTTTTTAAACGCATGCCTTGTTGACAGTGCTAATCGTTCAATACCTGAATTTATTGATCCTGATTACAAGATCCACTTGGGTGAGTTTGTGGAAATAGACTTGTAGAGAGATGGTGAAGTTAAGGAATAGCGAAATCACTTTTCTTTTTTTTTGATGCAGTTGTTTTTAATCTCTGTAAATGTTTGGCTGGTCTATGTTGACTTTCACCTTTGTATCTGTCTGGAAAAAGCATATTTTAGATGCCTACAATACACAGTGTCGAATCTTGAAGATATCTCAAAATAAGTCGGGACTACAAAACGAGTTACCAAACACTGTGAAAGAGCTAGAAGAACCAGAGAAACCGGAAAGTCGCACCCAAGAACATTACAAGAAATATCGGATGAAAGCATTTAGTGTGTCTTTCGGAGCTTGCTCACTTATGGGAACTTTATTTCAAACTTAACAATAGACCTTGTTACTTTTCTCCATTCACATCATTAACTTGACAACGACAGCATAATGCGATAAGAAGAATGGTTATGTTTCAGGTGATGAAAAATTGGAACGCTTGGAAGATGCAGAATCGATTGAATTGCGACCATATCAGCAGGAACTGGTGGCGACTGCATGTCGAGGGGTGAACACAATCATCTGTGCTCCAACTGGTTCGGGAAAAACTGTTGTAGCTGCACATATCATCCTGGAACATTTTCGTACTATGAAAGCTGCAGATAAACCTTCCAGGGTTTATTTTTGTTGTTCTTGTTATTTTAAAGAAATTCGGCTCAATTTTTGCTTCTGACAGGAGTTATATTACGTTGCTGAATCGGCTTGACTTTATCGAAGCATGTTCTGGAACTTTAGCAACAGTTGGAACCCGTGTATCACATGTTAGCCGAGTTCGGACAAAACATACCAGAGCAGCTTGGTTGGAAGTTAATCAAAATCACGATTCTGAAATGAATCTAGTACACATACGTTTCTCACTTACTCTTGCCCAATGTGCGACCACATCATAAATATCGTTAAATGAATGGTCTATCTTTCATATTAATATTTGCATATTACCATATGTTGAAGATTCATGGTAGGAATGATTTGAACTAAAGTTTCAAATTCCCACCTATTTTAGGTAGCGATCCTTGTGCCAACAATTCCGCTTGTAGAACAACAGTGTATAATGTTGAATCGTTACTTGCGAAAAACGTTCTGGGTCGACGGTATGAGTGGAAGTGAACCAGTCGATGAGAATGGACGTGCTCCAAATGTTTTAGCAAGTCATGTAACCGTTTTCACACCCCAAATTTTCATGTAAATATCGTCAGTTTCTATTTTGTATCATACATTTGCGAATTGGACATAATTGAAAAGCAGAATAAAGAAGTTAATGTTGGTGATGATGAAGAGGGAAATTTCAATGCAGCTGCCTCATAAAGTTTTTAATTTATTTTTGTTTTCTAGAAATTTGTTAAGAAGTATACGTCGAGATGATCGTTTGTACTTCACCGATTTCTCGATGTTTATATTTGATGAATGCCATCATTGCGACGGAGACCATCCATATCACGGTAATTCTTTTTAATTTGGATTTTCTCGAAACTCGTTGATTTTTATAGTGAATGTTTCGTAGTGACATATTAATAATAACTAGCACATTTCCTCATATTCGTGTTGTTGTATTATGATCAGTTAAGCTTTGAAAATTTCGATGTGATTGTTTAATGAGCTTATATTTGAAGCTGAGATTTTTTTCCAGTTCTGATGCGAATGTTGCACAGATTTGATGGGCCAAAGCCACAAATTGTTGGTTTAACTGCTTCTCTTCCACTTGGTGCGGGACGTGCAAATGTTGAAGCAGCACTTGATGTTTGTTTTTTCAGTTCGACAGAAATTTTTCTATTACAGTGTTGTATTTTAGAAGTGACGCATAGTAGCTTCTGTCTTCACTTTAGATTTTAGATTCATTTTAGATCTTTTGGGATTTCAATTTAATCCTCTGACAATTCAGTGTTATCAAATTACAGCATATGATGGATTTATGCGCCAAACTCTCTGCTCATTCTATCAGTACGGTTCGAAAACATATGGAAAATCTTCGTTATTTTGTGAAACCGCCTGTCGATGGTTCGTTTTTCTGGCAAATATTGAGACATAGATTGCAATTCAGCTAAATTTAGTGATTTGGATGCCTAAAACTGAGAGAAAGAACGCTTTCAGCGTCGTTCGTAATTCTTTTTCAGACATAAAACGCGCTCATCGGCCTGAGTACGACAGTTTCTGTCAATCATTAGAAATCTGTATGAGGAAAATTGAATTTGCTGCAAAGCCAGAACTTGAAAAAATAGCCGAAAATAAAGTTATTAATTTTAGAGTGGTTTGTTATAATTTCCTTGATTTATTTGGCTTTTTTTGTTCTCCTTAATTTTAAACTCTAAAGTTTTGCTGGTGCTACTACATCTTTCGTTTTTACGATTACCAATTGCTAGGAAACGAAGTTTGGGCAAAAAATGGAATGCAGTTTTATTGTGCGGCCTGTCATGTGGATTATAAGTTGAACTTCTTTCACTGAGCACGTCCAACAGATTTGTAATAGCTGAAAATACTCGCTACCATTACATATTCATGCCATTAACTATTCATAAATGCGTATGTGGACTGTAGAAAAAGGCTTGTATAAAAGTGTGAAGGGGAAATAATTGAATAATTGCACAAAAAAATAATTGCACATTTTTAGTAATAAACGTTTTGAGATGGCTAAGATCATATCAATAATTTAGTTGCATGCCATGTTGTTTCCATAGCGTTCGGCTTTTCCATGCTAATTTCAGGAGGAAACTGCATTTCCGGTACAGAAGAGTTCAATGCGTTACGAGAACTTTGTTGGAGGCTTGAAAAATCGTTTAGCGGAGTTACCTGGTGGTAAAGTGAAGCATCAGTTAATCAAAATGCTTGAACATCTTGGGGTAAATACCTTTTATTCAGTGAGTTAAAAACACTTTGAAAGTGATGGAATGTTGTTGCAACATTTTTTTCTAGAATTCCACGTTCATCTGTTTTTGAAAATTTATTTATGGCCCTTTTCTATCTCATTACTTAGTGATTGGATTTGTGTTTCAGTATTATTATCGTGCTCTCTGCTTGAGCGATTTACTGCCGAATTGGTATGCTTACAGTTATTTACGTGAAAATATGGCAAAAGAAATTTTTCCGGATAGAAGGGATAGTACAACTATTCAGAATCAATTGAAGAAACTTTTCGAAAGTATGTAATTTGTTGGTAGTAGTTTTATCAAAACATTAAATTAATATTCCATCATCCGTTATCACTAACACTACTTTATTCGTTTCTGTGATTATCATTTGTAATGCTGTAAAATGTGATTTTTGTACCTTCATACTACATTTGATTTTTGTACCTTCATACTACTTTGATGGTTTTTATTTCACAGGTCAATATGCGAAATTTCATTTAAAACTTTTCACATATTCTTTTTATAATGAGGATTAAAACAGCAAGAAATCAAAGATGACATACAGCTTCTTCATGTTTTCTCTGCCAGACTTTTCTGTATCTCTTTGCTTTTTCAGAATTTGTGAAACCAAATGAACTAAATTTCAAGGAAAGTGACTCAGGTGAAGAAAAAGAAATCTTGAAAATGCTGCATACTATTTTGCGTGAACAGTACGTTTCGGATCCAGCATCCAGGACTATAATTTTTGTGACGACACGTAGACTGGCCCAGTATCTATCACACCATTTGAATACTGTCAAAATTGTTGATGGAACAAATCGTGCGGTTGGATTCGTTACCAGTAATGCTTTTTTTTTAGAAAAAATTTAAGTCTTCCGGGAAAAAATAATTAACACCATGAGGTAATATTAAAGAATAATGACGGTTTGTAACAGTAAATATATGAAAGTGGTAATAAATGAGTCACGTAGCTTACGTGTGTTTAGGTTCAAATCGATCATCCGCCTTGAGTGGTCAGACGGCTGAAGAGCAACGAACAGTGATTGAGAATTTCAATCAGGGCACTTTGAAGGTTTTGGTGGCCACATCAGTTGCTGAGGAAGGTTTGGACATTTCTGCATGTAATCTGATCATCAAATACAACAACACAGGTTCCGAGAGATCACTGATTCAGAGAAGGGGTTAGTTAGTTTCAGTCTGGAGTTTTTGAAGTTCTACCTATTCAACTTTGATCTCAAACTTCAAGAATGAATAGTCCATATGCATTTGCTAAAAGTTGTGGCTAATTCTGAAATTTTGTAAAAAGTTTTTCTGAATTGGTAATTATTCCATCTTACCAGATTTTTGTTATTCATAAAAGATTGTCGAGTATTATAGGTCGAGCTCGAGCGAGACATAGTAGATCAATTTTGTTAGCTTTAGATGGTTCTATAGAAGAAAAGGAGTTAGAAAACATTCAGAAAGAACATTTAATGAGACGCTGTCTGGAACATATGCAAACAAAATCGGAAAACCAGATGAAGCAGCTGGTAGGTTGTTAATGATAATAATCATTGATTGCTTCAATAATTTTAGGATTCTCTTATTCATTGTTGGAAAAATCTTTTTATGGTTTAATTTTAATAAGAAAGTTGCTGCTCAGTTTCGTATTCACGAAATCCTTCATAATATCAGTGATTTCTTACCATGAAGCGCGAGCTCTCTCTAAAACTCTCCCGACGCCTTGATTTGATCATTTCTATTGTGCAGTTTCATTTCTTTATCTTCATTTGCTGTTGACAGACTTGAAATTGAGAATATGGACTTCCTATGGATACAATATTTTTTTAAAACGAATCAGATTCAAAATCCTCGTTTAATTCCTTAAATCTTATAACACGTCGAGGCAGTCCTTGGTTTAATATTTTTAAGATGATATTTTACGTAGGGTTGTTTTTGGCAGTCAGTATTCAAATCATATCTATATCAGGTAGAAACGAAAATTAATCAAATGAGAGCTCTCCATGAAGCAAATTTGGTGCGAGAAAATGAAAAGAAACGTTCGCTAGAAGGGAAATGGTTATTTTTTTAAGACCTTGTTCTTACAAAATTCCTAAAATCACTAATTCGTCAAAAAGGATTCAAGTTGAAGAAATGGAAGGAATCAGAACTTACTTTGATTTAAATCGGAATCAAAGAATTTTTTTTCGAAGTGGAATTGATCAAAAGCAGTATTCGACATTATAGTTATGATCTGAAATGCCGTCTGTGTGGTGCATTTATATGTAAAAGTAGTAGTATGCGCATTGCATGCGATAGCCAATATGTTTGCTGCGATCCAACTATTTGGGAACGGATTAATGCTCGTGTTCACAGTGCAAAGGTAAGTTCATTGGCAAAAATTTTATACTTTTATGAAGAGATGAAATTCTCTTTCTTTGATTTCTTAATAGAAGCAATTGAATAAACATTTCAGTAGCATTTCTACGTTCTTTTCTAGGTGTGTATGCTACAGGTACACACACTCCATTTTTTATGTTTACCTTTATTTGTCCATATTGCATTCAGCTTCCTACAATCGGCCTGAATGCTAATTATTATTTAGTTTTCTTCCTTACTTCATTTTTTTAACTTAATGGTTTTATTTGTATATTTTTATGTACATGTGAAACCTAAGGTACCGGATAACAATCGGAAATTTATTGTAGAGGGAATTCATGTAAAAGGCTCCAATTTACCAATCTTTGTTGCTGAGATTTATTAATCAGAATATTTTTGTAATTGTTCCACACATATTCTACTTTTGCACTACTTGGCATTCGTGTTCCTGTCGATCTTCTCAACTGATCTACTTTTTCGATGCAAAGAAATTTGAACTTAGTGTTTTTTTTTCTTAATATATTACAGTCATTGGCAATTGCAACGCTAGTTGGTAAACCCCACTGTAAAGGTAACAATGAATCAGACTGTAATGAAGTGCTGGGTACGATTGTCAAATTATATGGCGCCTTCTTGCCAACGATAGCAGCAAAAGCGATAATAGTTGATGATAGCGAAGGATTATCCGGTCGACCACAATGTGAAAAAAAGTGGGACTCTATAACGGCGGATAAGTTTTGTGTTGAACCAATCACTGAGTCCGATCTTGTAAGCGATTTATTTTTAATTTAGTCGGTCGGTTAAATTTATTCAGTCATCTATGCATGATACAAAGAACTTCTCTCTTAATATGATGACGCATAATTTAGAGAATTAGCTAAAAGTAAGATTCATGGTCTGATATTGTAGCGAGTGACCATAACCCAATTAGATAAAGCTGGCTTCTCAACAGCGACATTGAATTACAAATGAGATTTCATTTCAAATACTTTTCTAGAAAGTGATGTTGAATTCGCTGTACAACTACTCACGACAGCAGCATCTTCAATTTGAAGCCGAAGCAGGACTTGCTGTTAAGCGTGCTCTCACTGAAATGAAAAAAGAAAAGCGACCTTTCGCAATCCAGGAATAAACCCTATTCTACAAGATATTTTCCCGTATTTGTTCGTCCCTCCAACTTTGTTGCTTTATTTAACTTCCAACCGGAGCTTTGTCAATTCGAAACAAATGTAATCCACTGTAAATTTAGAATGTGACTGCACCATTCCCTTTCAGTGCCTTTCTCCTTGAAGTCGATTATGCTTTACTTTGACAGATCTCTACAAATCTCTACATACCGTCTCATTCACTTGTCTCATATGACTTCTTTTTCATCTTACTTTTATGTACGATAAAATTTATTTGACTGGGAATTCAGATTTTTTAAGAAATATTAAAACCATTTGCTGAAGCTGAAATTGAACAGCAGCATGAACGCTTGCACATTACATTTCAACGGACACTGTTTGCCTTGGCATTTAAATATGTTGTAAAACAGTAAAGCAGTAACAGTTTTATCGTTTTATGGTAGGATCAATGTAACAATGAATGGTAGCTATTCAACAAATTTATTTGCTGCTCTTGCTATATCTTACTGACTCTGATTCACGACGAGATGCTGACGAGCGGCGGCGAGCAATCTTAGCTGCTTGTTTTCCTAAAAAGTCTTCAGAAAAATCCGCGAAAGAGTGAAACAGACGAAGGCTTGGTATGCCTTATTTGCAGATAAAAGGTAGTACTAAAAAAAATTCCTTGACCTGCAACTATAACAAATTATAAATATGCTCAATGCAGCCCCAACTCCAGAATAACGAAAACTGCATAGCACAAACAAACCTTGGAGTATTGCGTCATCATCTTATGGTACTGAGCTTCTTCTTCACGACGTTTAACACTTCGTTTGATTTTCATTGCCAGACGTCTTCGTTTGCGTTGCAATACAACTGGTGTTATTAGTCGCTGAATCTTTGGTGCTTTACTGCGCGGTTTCTGACCTAAAATAGAAAGGTACTGTACATCACTTCGAATCTTATACTGCAGACCTATATATATATATATATGGAAGTCGTTTAAAGAGAAGCGTAATCCGTCGAGTGAAGCTTACTATTATCCTGATAGAGCATTTCTTCTCCGATGTTGATATGTAATAAAAGTCATCTGTTGTGATAAGAGATGAGTAACAATTCAAACTACATCATCCAAAACTGCGCGTGAAAACGGAGAATATTTAAAATCAAGTCACCAGAAATGAATTTTACAAAAATACAATTACTACAAGTCATAGAAGTAAATTTACCTTCTTTTTCGGGTAGTTTCCGACGGATAACATACTTCCTAACATCATCATTCTTCGTTAGATTGAACAGTTTACGGATTTTAGACGCACGTTTGGGTCCCAAACGGCGAGGAACTGTGGTATCTGTTAAGCCAGGAATTTCCTGCTCGCCTGAAGTACAGCAAATGTGGTCATTTAATTCCGAAAAAGACTTGACATATTTCCGAAAATCTTTCCAGTTCTTTGTAATATAAGTAAAATGTCCTACCTTTCTTTACAATGATTAACGCAAGGGCAGATAAGTTAGCATCAACAATACATCCACGTACTGACTTGCGCTTACGTTCCCCATCTCGACGAGATCGATAGCAAGAATGCCCTTTTGACAGCAACAATCGCACGCGACCGTTTGTCAAAACGCCTTGTTTCATTGGAAAACCTTGCTTGTCGTTACCACCAGTTATACGCAAAACGTACCCCTAGAAAAATGTATGTTCTCTTTTCCTCACTTATTTACCGAGAGCATTGATTTGGAACAATATCTATATAATCGATATAGTATACGTAAGGTAAATGGAGATAAAGCAAAATCTTTATTACGAATGCAAAAAAAAATCTCAGGATAAAAACTAGAAAATCTGAAAAGTCAAACAGCCTGACACATAACACAAATCCGAAAGTAACTGTTTTTAAAACTGTAAATTTATAAGATCCATGATGACGACCTTACTAAAATGCTGAAAAAACAACACTATTCTGGAGTTGAAAAAAAGTGTGGAAAACTTCTGGATCAAAGAACAACGAAAAAAATTCAAATAGGGGGCCATAAGATGATCACCCAGGTTACCTTCCATTCATCGCCCAAAGCATCGGCCTCTACTTCTTGTGCCATCCTTTTTTCATAGAAAATCCGCAACTTCTTATCATCATCAATTTCAAACACTTTCTGACAGCCAGTAGTTGGATATGCTATGTTCAGTTTCATCCTTTCCTTCCTCTTCAGCTGCTCACCTGAAAGCATACATGTACACATTGAATTGCATCTACAATTTACGAAATTAACTATTTTCTCCTTTCTTCCATTGGCAGTACCTTTACAAATTTCCAAATACAAGCGATCTCTAGAAAAAAATATCCGTTGGATATTTCCAGAACAACTAGTATTGCACTGTATACAAAGATGAGAAGATGTCCTTTCAGGAAATACAAACAGGTCTAAAAGATTAGGACTATGAAATGATTATAGCAAGTCTCACATCGAATGACTTACAACATTCGCGTTTCCCTTCAACTTCACGGTCTGGGCAGGAAATGAGATAGTAACTGTAATAAAAGATCAGACAAATCCTTCCCAATTTCATTCCACTTCAATGAGAGCATTTCAAGGTTGAGAAGAACATAAACCTAAGTTATTTTTAGCATTTAAAAATCCATTTGATAGGAATCCACCAGAAAGGAATATTCCTCCGTCGGGCCTAATCCATATTTTGCCTCAGTCAATAACAAAAGCCTAAAATCAAAGCGAAAAAAACCATCAGCGAACGGCACGAGTATTCTTACTCTATTTACCACCCCACACTAATAAGTAAACTTCTAACACCTACACACCTGCACACACATACACATAAGCACACATACACACATACACATACACTAACACACCCATACACGCACATACACTCGCACATATTCCCAGACCCAGTTCTATCCAACAACAGCTAAAGTGCCTGTCCAAGTCATCGTGATATACATAGATTTTATAGGGTGAGAGGTGGATGAGAAAGACGGTTGCAAGATAGCATTGATATTATGCGAAGCAAGAATAGAGACACTATAGATTTGAAGGGTATGCCGACTGCACTGAATCTAAAGAACCTTTTAGAGAGAACGCTGCAAAATTTGTAAAAGGAAAAAAGAACAAATACAAACTCGGAAGAAAAGAGAAGCAGATAGAACAAAAGGAAACAGTCAAAACCACCCTATTATAACAAACGTAGAGTGTGATCACTGTTACATAGACCGGACAGTACGAAAACACTTTCCCACATGATGGAAGGTTGTATGTAAAGTGGTGATTGGTGGCTGTTGTCGTCGATAATCTGAGTGTTATTTTGGAGTGGTGGGGAATATCGCTGTTATAGTTGTTATGTGAATGAAAGAAGTGACATTTGTGGAAAGATAATGTCTTCATGGATATGCATAATATACATATATATGCATGAATATTCCAGGATAAGTAATGAATGACATGAATATTAATGAAGAAATTTGAAAGAATTTTAGAGAGCAAATTTGAAGAAATTTCATCTGTAGCACTAATCAATAGCCTTTTTTGGCAAGCAATGATCATCTGATTGGTTAACGTGAAGTCAAAAAATAAAAATAAATTATTCTATATAGCTAGAATATTGAAGTACAATGAATAGTTCGGACTTGTTGAGTGTGATTTTCCATTCTGTTCGTTTATTCCTTTCACTGTTTGCTATTAAAAGCGCCAGTTTCTTACAGTCCGTTCATCTTTCCACCTGATGGAGTCTTTCCGTGACGATACTTTAGAGAATGTAGTCTACCACATCATATCAGCTAGGCAATGCTTAAGAAAAGCCTTGTACTAAATGGCTGTGTTTATGTTTTACTAGCATCGACAATAATTTACTGAAACTTGTGGATCGATACATCGAGGATTAAACAATTTTATAAATATGCGACTTCCTTGTGCGAATCAATTTTTTATGATGAAAAAAGCCACCTCTTTTAATGAAGGCATTTTATTTGCTTCATATAAGACTCGTTAAAGTAATGATGTAATTCTCAATGTTTGAGTGTTAATATAATTGGTTATTCTTGTAATAATGACTTATTCATAACTGTTCATTGAAACAATGCCTTAATGTCAATGTATGAATAAATTGCATAATGATATTCATTTATTTACTGGTAAATTAGTGGTACTTCATGTTATCCAACTGGGTCATGCTTAATCGATCATCAATTACTTTATTAATAACATCAAGATGTTTCGGTCATTCTTCGCTCAGAAACAAATATACTTATTATCATGTACGATGAGTTGTTAAATATAAGGAACCTAGGAAACAAATTGTAATATTTAAATTCAGCAAATAACAATACTATGTATCCACGTAATTAGAAAAGATATATAAACTGGGTCTATTTCCTAAGGGTGGATAGTTTTTATGATTTATAGCCAGCATTGCATCCCATCAACAACGACGATAGTTCGAGATGGAATTCGCAAGCTATGCTATAAATCAACCTTTGCATACTAAATTTTTAATTTTCTAAATTCAGTCATAGCATAACTGTGTAAAACCAATTTTAAATGATTTCATTATTTTATCCGATACTGTTCACACGAACACGAAAGTTTCAAAAAGGAAACAAAGAAAACAATAAACGGGTGAGAAGCTCAGTCTAAATAATAATACTAAGGGAGAGAAAGTGGAATAAGGAAGGAAAAGGAAAGAAAAGGAAAGAGACTTAGCTTATTTCCAATAAAATATTGATAAATTGACAAAAGGGTCGCAGAATAAAAGATTCCTTTTTGTAGAAAAAAAAATTGCAATTCCAGAAGCTGTTATGATGGTTTGTGCAGTATGTTATAATAGTGATAGTAGTGGTGGATTCTTCATACTTATCCTAGAAATGAATGGTGAATCATATCCCTGCTCTTTCCTTTTCCTTTTCCTACCAGTTTCATTCCCCTTTAGCTTTTAACTCCTACAATAGCTCTGTTATCCAGATAACATTCTGTTAACCTGAAAGATGAAAAGGTTACTAACAGAGAGATGAGAGAAGGCATAGAAAAAAACGAAACGTGAGATTTTATACGACCAAAATTGATGTGATAAAATTGGAGGCAGGATTGATATGTATTGCGTTTACGAGTCTTTCCGAACATTCTTGTTGATGGTTCATTCTTTCCTCCATCAACTTTCATCTCATTCTTCAATTCAGTTGCCCAGTTTATTTCTTTCTAAAAGAACTCCTGAAATGGAAAGGCCTGTCAAAACCAAACTATAACATCTGGTAAATTTGGCACCTTATAATTTGATCAGTGGGTTGTATTAGATTAGGTAAGGGAAATTTTACTTCCGTCTAAGGAAATTCATTCAGGTTAATTTTTCAGAACTTCCCCGTTTTTATTTTCGTCAAATGGCACTTCCTCTTGCAAAATAATTCCTCCCTTATTTTGTTTCGCAGAAATTCTAAAAAAGAATATATATATTTTGGTCTCGGCTTTCTGCAAAGGCTTCACTTTTGTTTTTTATTTATTAAGCTGAGAGTAATTTAATTTATTTTCCATTTCCTATGTGATTTTGAGCCCAACATGACATTTAGTATTCAATTAAGAGCACTATTTTCTGGTTTCTTGACTGGAAATTCAATATCCAGACTCAATATCTATACTTGATTGGAAACCACATTCAAATGTTGTTTTAGTTTCTGTGAATTGTGAAGTCAAAAATTTTGAAATTTCAAAGAATCAGTAGCACTCTCAATCCTAATTAATAAGGTCTCCCCTTCTTCATTGCAATTCTCCAAAATTTGATTGCCAAATCTAAAATGTTTGCGTGCTACAGAAAAAAAATAAAATAAAAAATGTACAGTTATAATCTACTTGTTGTCCCTTTCCTGCATATGACATTTGAAGAGGTGGTCTTAAACAAGCATGCGATATTCAGCATATGCGATGCGATTGTACCAAATGCAATAACAATGTAGAAAAAAGAGAATTACATAAGCAGGTTTTTTGTAATAGTGATTTCGAAAATTAGGAATAAGCTCATCCAGGCACTCGTTTACTTGATCATCTCTTAATATAAAAGTAATGAATACATTTTTCTCTTTTACATTCTCATCAACCTATTCTCATCCATTAAAAGCCCAGAAAAGTGACAATCAAAATATGTTTAACTAAGCCCTTTTCTCCCCCGTAATATCATTATTTTGCTCAGCTTCCGATGTATTGAGCCGCCTTGTAACTAATCCTTCACGTGAATGATTCAGTTTAGACAAATATATTTCCCTTCTAAGTACCATCCACTTAACAATCTCCAACTTATTTCCATACCAATACAATTACATACAAGTCTCTTTATCATGCATTATGCTACTTACCATTTGTTTCCTTCATTGCTCTATCGAAATTATGCCCTTTTCGGAATCTAATCTTTGTTAGGAATTCAAAAAGATGCTCCTAAACCTCCTCTTCATCTATTTTTGTAGCTGACAGGTCCCCAGTTAATGGCTACTTTTGTCTATTATCACAGAAAAGAATCTCTATGTATAAATGTATATACTGATAGAAATTTGCGTTTGTGAAAGGGATATCCAACAAATGTTGAAGGAAAATATATTCGTTGTATATTCATAAAGTTATGTGTTAATTGAAAGATAATACTTTCATTGTCGTCATCAGTTTCTACTTTTAATGATAATGGCTTGTTACTGCAATAAGGGAACATATACAAATATTACTAGTCTTAATGGCTTCATTGGTCTTCTCAGGTTTATTGAATTTTTCTTTTCCGTCAGATCTTATGCTGTATGCTTTTTCAATATTACCACTTCTAAGATTAAAATAAAGAAGATAAGTATGAGGATTGAAAAGAAAAGAAAAAAAAAACGGTATTTTCAAAATTTAGAATCCCCTGAGACCTTTGCTATAGCAAAACTAAAAGCGGAAAGTGGTATGATGGAAACTTACGACAGCTAAATTTACAGGAAAATTCCTCATAACTTTCTTTTTTTTTGTTGGTTTTATTTTAATTTCATTTCATTTGCATTACATAACAAAATGAAGAATGTGAAGCAGTTAACATCTCTACATCTTTTAGGAAATTAACAATCTTCGGAAAACTGAACACAATTTCCTTTTGAAAATTTAACGATTAATGATTCTATTCCAATCAAAGATAGAAATTAATGAGGAAAGAAGGAGGCAATACTCTCCATGTGAAAGCGACGTTAAGCAAAATTTAGTTGGCATGAAATAACGACTAATATTGTATTAACTTTAGCAGCTGGCTAATTCAGTTTTTGTTTTTTAAGGAATGAAATGGAGTTCATTACATTTGTTACTCATATGCGAATGAAAATGTTGCAATGTTAGGCTCACAGTCCTTGAGCTTTATTCTGAATAAAGCAATAAAATCATTCCGTTCAAGTCGCCATGACATCACACTTGGAAATAATGACCGTCAAAAAATGACACCATCCCACTGTGCATTCTACAATCAACAAAAACAAACTTTACTTCGATCTCTAGATACCTTGGCTATTTGGAATATGCATGGTCAACATTATACCAAGTAAGTGGTAAAAGTGAAAATTAAAAACGCCATTAGACATATGGCTATAATTGAAATAGTATGTGATACACTTAATTTCTAACTTATTTATCAATTCAAACATGTAAATTTTGTTTCTTACTTATTATTCACAAAAATTCCAAAAAGATAACTTCAAGTCATCATATCACTTCATTGTATTTTAGATGGTATCCTTCAAAAAATACCTGAAAAAATATTGATAAAACTATTAAAAATCTATTCTTCAGGATCTGAGGTTGATTCGGCATGGTATCCTTAATTAAACTTATCTGTGGTACGGGCAGTGTTATAATTAGATAAAAATAAAAGATAGAAAAATAATGAACTGTTTTGGAGGAGGGCACTGATTATTGGATACTAATAAATGATGGACTGGAGATTAAAAAGTCTTTTTTTTTAATTTTGAGAATGGATGAGATTGAGAATCGCAGATGAAAAAAGATGGGAAGTTCTGGATGATTATCCATTTGGAATGAATATTGAATTGTCATGATAGCAGTAATACTAGTAGTAGTAGTAGTTAGTAGTAGTAGTATAATAATAGTAATAGTTGTGATGTATGTATATAGCAAAATATAAAAATGTGCCTAGTGGGTTGGACATAGGATCCAAAACAAGATTGTAAACAAATTACTTAGTAATGTAGTTCAAGAATAAAATTCTCAACTTTAGATTTTTTAGAAATACTCACTGACTTTTACATTAACTCTTATACTTTGAATTGAGTTTGATTCAATTTCAATTTGATATGTCGGTTGCTTAACAAACCAGTTCGTTGCTTTTTAAATTTTCATTAGATTTCATTTATTTCACGACAGTTAGTGTAGAACTTGTGACTTAATTTTACAAGTGAAATATTGGTAAATTCAAGATGAGGAAGTAAACTGGGCGTACCGAGCTTCAGGACTAATTATTTCGTTATTGTGGTAGATTGTGGTGGATGTGATTGCTCGGCTTTCATCCATAAATTGCTCAAATCGGCCGGCAATAGCATCACGACGGGTGAGTGTTGATAATTTATTTAAAAGTAGAAAATTTCGATATCATGAAGTCTGATGATATATATATATATATATACATTTATTTATTTTATATATATATATATATATATATATATATATATATATATATATATATATATATATATATATATATATATATATATATATATATATATATATATATAATATATATATATATATATATATA